AAAAAAAAGGGCAAAAGAAAAGACAATATTGGAGCGGTGAATGTGGGGCACCGTTGGGTTATACGAATTCTTCAAGGCCTTCCTTACACTGCTCAGATTCTACTAAACCAACTGCTTGTATTGCCGAGATACAGGGCGCTCATATTATAAGGTAAGGTTATAAAAACCATCTTTTAAGATCATTTTAGTGAAAGTTTCATCCTTCAAGGCGTACCATTCACTGCTCAAATACTAAACAAGCTGCTTCCATTGCCGAGATACAGGGCGCCCATATTATAAGGTAAGGTTATAAAACCACCTTTTAAGATCATTTTAGTGAAAGTTTCGTGTTCCTATTTCATAGAATTTAAGAACAAAGATGAATAAATCATTTTCGAGCAAAATTTAAATGGCCGGCTGAATATATTACCGCCGGAGACGCAGCCGCGGAATTTAAATGACTGCGCCAAAGGGTTAAGGTTCCAACCCTCGTATATATAATGAGGTAACAGCCAAATCTTAAATTCACCAAACATATTTCTACAAGAAACTCTATTATTAACACCTTTGATCAATCTTAAGACATTCTTTCTGGTTTTTAAATACAGTTTCAGAGTCCTTAAGCACCCCACCCCAAAAAATAATACCATATTTCAATACAGATTAAAACTTAGTAAAACAGACTTTTCTTAATACAGATTGGCTGGGTCACGTAAGGATTTAATCAAATAAAGAGCCTTGTTGAGCTTCTGGCATATGTATTGAGTATTTATGCATGGCAACATCAGGACATATAGGTAACAAATGTTTTGAAAACGTGGAACAGTTCAGATATTTGGGAACGACTATAACAAATCAAAACCTGAAACAGGAGGAAATTAAGAGGAGATTGAACTTGAGTAATGCTTCCTACCATTCAGTCCAGAGCCTTTTCTCTTCTTGCCTGCTGTCTAAAAATATAAAAATTAGAATACACAAAACTATAATTTTGACTGTGGTTCTGTATGGGTGTGGAACTTGGTCTCTGACATTAAGGGAGGAACACAGATTCAGGGTGTCTTGGAACAGACATCACCCACTGTGAGCAACATCTTCATGGAGCATTTTGAGAAACTGGCTCTTGAATCGACACAACATAAACCACTGATGTGGCTCCAGCACGTTAATGACACATTCGTGGTCTGGCCCCATGGTCCAGAGCAGTTACAGGATTTCCTCAGTCACCTCAACAGTTTAAAGTCGTCCATCCAGTTCACCATGAAACAGAATCAGGCAGTGTAATTTCCTTTCTTGATGTGCTGGATAGCAGGGAAGAGAAACCAAAAATCTACAGAAAACCCACCCACACTGGCCGGTACCTTAACTTCAACTCTATCCACTGCATGTGAAAAAAGGTTTGATTCAGAGTTTGCACAACAGAGATTGCACCATACGCCAAGAACAAAATCTGGTTAAAGAAATCAGCAGCCTGAGAAGTGATTTCCAGCTCAATGGTTATCCGCAAGGTTTCATTGACTCAGTCATTAACTCCAAGGGTAGCAGTTGTCTGAATAAAGAGCAAAAGCCCCTGGGCTCTGTGTACATCCCATATACAAAGGGTGTTTCTGAGAAGTTCAAACATATAGGGAATCGATACAATGTCAGGACAATCTTCAGAACTAAACACACACTTACGAGTTCACTCACGAGAACAAGGTCGGAAAGAGATGCGCAACAGATGGCACAGAGCACCTACAGTATTCCCTGAGAGTGTGGAAGAAGCTGTACTGGGGAAACAGACCTGTAGCCATGTGGCTCCATGAACATAGGCACAATCTCCAACAGGATATTCTATAAAAATTAATTAGCCCAACATGCCTATGAAGAGGGTCAATGAGTAGGCTGGGATGATGCCAGGAATTTGGAAATTAAAAGTAACAGTAGGTATAGGAAATATAAGGAATTAGACCATATGGCATACTTAAGAAATCCAATCAGCCAACCCAGTTTGGACATTTCTCCTATCTGGATACCCCTCATCAGCAGGGAGGTTTCTAACTCAAAGAGAAGATCTGTATGACGTGACAGACTCTTCATGCTTTTCCATAACGTTCCAGTCTCAGGTGTTCAAGTTTTACTCCACATATGGCACTAGTGGTGGATATTACATGTCTTCACAATTTTTCCCATTTCTTCGCAGTGGTGCTCATGGACTTGGTTATTGTCAGCTCGGTTTCTAACATAAATTTCTACCTCTTTTTCTATCCTAGTTCCACACATGTGCATGCTCTATCACAATTTTTATTTTATTGTTTCTTGTTATCGCCCACTGAACTAGCCTAGTCTTATACAGTATGTGCCAAAATATTCATTACTGAAATGAAAAGATGTACTGCTGATACCACTGTCTATTCATGTGAAGGCCCCTTGCACAACAGACCCTTCTCAAATCCTGAAGAAATGGTCCGATCACCATGTCCCTGTAACGTTCTTGGGTGACAGTAAGAGCACTGCCTTCCTCATCCTCAATGAAATAGGGGCCTAATATACCGTGTGCTGAGACCACACACCATATTGTCACACGTGTACTATGTAGCGGTTTCTGGACAATAACATCTGGCTGCACAAAACCAAGGAAGCGAGTTGTCTGGCGATTGATGTAGCTGTCCAAGTCAATGTGACATTCGTCAGAGAACCACACATTCCTCAAGAAATCTGGATCCTCGTACACCATCCTGGCGCACATATCTGACTCTGTCAAGCACTGTCCAACCTGTATCTGGTATGGAAATCCACCTATGACCTTAAACAATTGGTGAACGGATGTATAGCTGATTTTCAGTTTCAAGGCCGTTCATTGTAAACTACGTCGGGGCAAATGCAGCACCTGCTGAAGAACATGTGCATGACTCTATTTTGTCGAAACAGTTATTGGCCGACCAGACTTCCCCTTCTGTCAACACAGCGCACTACCAGAGTGGCGAAATTTCATAACAATAGACAGCATATGTGTGTTACTTGGTGCCGTCTTATTAAATCTCTCTTGGAATTTTCACTTTTTTCGAGCTCGGTCCCCCTTCGCGACCACTTCCGTATGATCGGAAATAATACTCAACTATGAATACTTTTTCCTCTGTCGAGAGACCCATTTCCAACAACTGCACAACACAACTTACTTTTCACTACTGGGAACATGTGCAGCTGGAGCTATGCCCCGTCGACAAACACACGTGTTCGAGATGCGCGAGTTTCAGTACTGAATATTTTGGCACATACTGTATGTTGAAATAGCTGGGTAAATCTGACAGGAGTTATCCAGTGATTGAGATTAGCTCTTTCTAAGGGATCCAAATGAGTAGGTGTCTTCCTTTCTCACCTGAAGACGGAAACAGATCCGGTTTCTGAAACCTCATGTCCTCTATTACGTAGAATTCTGGACGATGGAAAAAGTCCAAAACCCCAGTTTCTGTGTGTCATCCACCACTGTCAGAACCCTTTAGAAATATTAGAATGGATCTCAAAGAGACAGGATGGGACGGTATGGATTGGATTGATCTGGCCCAGGACAGGGACCGTCGGAGGGCTCTTGTGAACATGGTAATGAACCTGTGGGTTCCATAAAATGCTGGGAAGTTCCTGATTAGCTGCATGAATGATAGCTTCCCAAGAAGGGCTCAGCTCCATGGGTGAATATACACCTGATGATGGTCAGTTAGACCAAAACATGTAGTGTGTTTGCTATAATAAACTGACTTATTACTGTAGTTGTTTCAATTATTTGTTATGCACTAATCAAAACCATGTTTGTTGTGTGACAGTAAAAAACCTTAGAATTTACATCCACAACAAGATGCATAACAAGAAAAAGGCTAATACCTAATTAAGGCAACATGAATACAAAGTATTTTTTCAATTTAGCACTTCACTTTTGTGAAAGAGGCACCATAAGTAATTCAGAAAAAGGAAAATAATGATACCTCCGTGAAAGTGTGACTAGGCTCTGGCGGTGTTTAGAATGGCGTTTTGTCTTCCCAAGCCGAATATCTATAGCCTGGAAATGATTTTGTATTGCTCGACCTAGTTCAGGGCACTCTTCCTCATTAACCTGTAAAAATACAGGAAACAACAAAATAAGGTAAGTAAACAGTCTATAAACAATTCTTAATAGAAATTAGCCAGTATGTAATGTGACATCTAAGAAGAACCACCTTGGTGGATACTGTCCTTCTCATAAAAATTATTCTGTTCTTGACTTGAACTGCACTCACCTTGCCAGTACTTACTTCCAATGAATAATTACTACTGACATGAAACTTAATTTAAGCTAGGTATCTGAGGCACCCCTTTTGTAATGTAAATTAGGTGTAAACATTATTTCCCTTTCTGAATCCATTAGACACATAATTTCTAGAACACAGCAACTCATCTTATTTCATTCCTTTCTTTATGTACATCATCATAAAGTAAGTACAGTAAACTCTGGAACAATATATCACATTTGAAACCTTGTATGATTTTCCCTAACCCTGTTAAAATGTAACAATATTTTTCAGTAATTTCTGACTTCTTTTTTCTACTCTACGCAACTTATAATGATTGTCCAATGAGCGTCACTAAGTACGTAATCTACCTAGACCAGATTTCAGCCATGTATGACAGTGAGACAAGATGTAACCTGTTCTGACATGTCTCTGCATATTGTGTGTGTAGTTCCAGTGGGGTCCGTTCGAAATTTGTGATATGGCTGCATGTGAATCAACCTACCTGCATGTTAACATGAATTCTGCGAGATTAGAGCACAGATTCATCATTAAGAATTGAAATGGACCAAGGCCTGTTCGTGAATGGATGTTGGTTGTGTATGGTAATACTGCATTTCCAAACACATAAAATAAGTAAACATAAACAGTAATACTTTACAAGTAATATAAGGTGAAATATTGGTCTAACAGTTCAAGTGGGGCAAAAAATCCATCAAAGTTACACCACTGCCTGGAAGGCCAGTGAAAGTGACTACTTCCAATTTTCTGGGTAGAATTTTGGACTAACAAAGTTTATCCATAAATATTTCTCTCAGGAGCCATCACAGAAGACGAAATGTGGATCAATCAATGGAATACGGAAACACAACAAGGTTCGTTACTGTTCACCCATTCCTAAGAGTTTGAGTCACCACCATTGGCTGGAGAGATCATGGCCATAGTGTTTTACAATTAGAGGGAAGTCTCTATTGGAGTCAGTCATAACACAACAACATAACGGTCAAGGTTAAAATTACCTTAGCTACATATTTCTCCTTTTAAAGACATCATCAGGCAAACGCAAGATTAATATTGTGATGTGTTGGGTTACTGAAGACGCCGTAGAGATGGTTACTTGGTTTATTTAACTATCTACAAATCACGGCTACAATTAATGGTAACAATATTGCGGGGTTTCACAATTTATAACCCCATTCGCAAATCAAACCACGCTATTGTCAGTAGACTACACGTTTCACAGTACGGGAGCTATATAAGTGTTACTGTATCACACACTCCCAATCAATTCTCAGTTATCACAAACTGTCACTGATTATCACGTTTCACAGTACGGGAGCTATATAAGTGTTACTGTATCACACACTCCCAATCAATTCTCAGTTATCACAAACTGTCACTGATTATCACGTTTCACAGTACGGGAGCTATATAAGTGTTACTGTATCACACACTCCCAATCAATTCTCAGTTATCACAAACTGTCACTGATTATCACGTTTCACAGTACGGGAGCTATATAAGTGTTACTGTATCACACACTCCCAATCAATTCTCAGTTATCACAAACTGTCACTGATTATCACGTTTCACAGTACGGGAGCTATATAAGTGTTACTGTATCACACACTCCCAATCAATTCTCAGTTATCACAAACTGTCACTGATTATCACGTTTCACAGTACGGGAGCTATATAAGTGTTACTGTATCACACACTCCCAATCAATTCTCAGTTATCACAAACTGTCACTGATTATCACGTTTCACAGTACGGGAGCTATATAAGTGTTACTGTATCACACACTCCCAATCAATTCTCAGTTATCACAAACTATCACTGATTATCACACACTTTCACTCGTAACTCGCCGCTGGCTAGATTCCAACTCTACTCGCAGGCTGCTGCCTTGAGAACTGTTGATAACACACTCTGACTCGTAGGCTTGCATGGAAATAACTCGGAACTGTCTTCAGCGATGGCCACGTTACAACTAACTCTGCAGGCAGCGCAGCTCTCTTATATAGGGGCTGTGTGCCTGTTCCGTGCCACGTCACAGTAGGAAGCGGTTCCGCGTCACCGTGTTGAGTCACCGCGCGTTGCACGTTACATCACCGTGGGGAGAGTGGCAGGGCGGGGACTCGCCTATTACCATAGTAATGCGAGCGCTTCGTTACTGCCACGTACCGCTGGGGAGGAGGGTGTCCTCCATTGCGCAACATGTCACACTGCTCCCTCCTTAAGGCTGTTCATCCCGAATAGCCTAACGGTGCATCCCCATTCCTCTGCTTCAGAGGCTGTTCTTGCAGCATCTCCTGTTTCGGCTACTTCTCGCAGCGACTATCATCCGGCAGTTACAACAGCTCCCCTCTTAAGACCAACTCGTCTCGAGCAGTTTCCTTTCAGCTCGCCAGAAGATCCAGTTGTATCCCATTCACCCATCACTTTCATTCTATGGCACATTCACTCTCTCTGGGGAGGCCGGTTATTCTACATTGCCGGTTCCTCCTCTGCTTGAAGTCTCTTTTTCCGTTTTGGAGGGGGTTGTCCCCTCCATAAGGTCCAGTCCATGTTTATGTCTTCCATGAGATGTTCCTTATGTCGACGTAACAGCCCTTGATGCGTTGTTTGCACTTGCTGACGTCGTCGTTCCTCCTGGTCCTCCTGCCACTTGCTGGCATGAGACCATGGCACCAAGTCCTTTCTCTGGCATCCGAAGGTTCCCTGGGGAGTTTCCTTCTTGAAGTCATTCCTCCAACGTCGTGCCACTGTCACGCGACAGGATATCTTCCTGCAGATGGCAGCCAACTTTATCCGGGATGCATGATCTCCTCGGGTCCAAGATTTCCTGAAGATGTTTCTCTGGCGCCATGACACTCTTCTATGGCAGGACACCTTCCTGCTGACGACGGCCAATTTATTCTGGGGTCCGCAATTTTCCCATGTCGAATTCTTCATTTGTCGCTTGTTTCGGTCCCTACGCCTTTTCTACTTCAGTTCTCGGACCGGCATTACTTCGGCGTCTTCTACGGGTACCTCTCGTAATTCTGCCGCTTCAGGTGTCATGTCCACTGAGGCTGGCTCTTCTTCTTCCAGACGTGCCTCCATCTCTTGGCAGGCCATCGTCACTCCGACCAGTATTGCAATGGGGACCTCTTCTTCTTGTGCCGTGCTTGCTTGGGTTCCTCTTGTCTCCGCGGAGGTCTTCTCTCGCCAGGCGGCCATTTCTTCTCGCCAGGCTTTCGAGTTGGCGTCCATTCTGGCTAGGAGTTCCTTGTGGCTGATCTCCACCTTTTCTTGACAGGAGTCTAATTTGGCCAGGAAATCTTCTTTGTCTTTCCTCCTACTTCCCTCCATCCCTTCCTTCTCTTTCCTCCTCTCTTCCTCCCTATCGGCTTTCTGTCTGGCCGCCAGTTGCTCCTGGGCGAACAACAGACGTTCCATCATCTTTTCCATGTCCATGTTGCAGCAGTAAAATACTCGCTGCACAATAATTCAATTATTTGCTGAGGCGTGTTCAAGTTCGTAAAACACTTCTGACACCAGTGTAACGTGTCTTGAGTTCGAATCTCGTCGGTCACGTGTGTAAGTCCAAATCCCACTGTAACGTGTTTCCTTACTGAATACACCGTAGAGATTGTTAATTGATTTATTTAACAACCTACAAGTAACGGCTACAATTAATTATAACACTGATACGGGTTTACATACTTTACAAACCCCACACACAAATCTCTTCACACTGTCACGATTCACTCGTTACAACTAAACTCGGTGACTACTCCAATTCAATTCAACTCGTAACTCTCTGATGGCTAGATTCCAACTCTACTCGCAGGCTGCTGCCTTGAGAACTGTTGATAACACACTCTGACTCATAGGCTTGCTTGGAACTAACTTGGAACTGTCTTCGGCGATGGCCACGTTACAACTAACTCTGCAGTCAGCGCAGCTCTCTTATATAGGGGCTGTGTGCCTGTTATGTGCCACGTTACAGTAGGAAGCGGTTCCGCGTCACCGTGTTGCGTCACCGTGCGTTGCGCGTTACATCACCGTGGGGAGAGTGGCGGGGTGGGGACTCGCCTATTACCATAGCAACGCGAGCGCTTCGTTACCGCCACGTACCACTGGGGAGGTGGGTGTCCTCCGTTGCGCAACATGTCACAATATATTCACACCGTATGGAACTGCAACTTCATTGTGATAGTAAAGCTGGATACTTGATAACTGTTACATTATAAAATATGGTATAAAATAGAATGAATTATAAACTCATTATAAAACGAAAGTTATGGAGTAAAATATGGTTAAAAATGCTTCATGTGATATTGCATATCATGTTGCAATCTTGTCATACACGTATTCCCACTGTATATTGCTGTATTGCAATCTGTATTCCCAACAGAATGGACAAAATACACTGTAAGATGAGACACAGGCCAAACAATTAATGTCAAATAATACTACATCTATACCACGGGCCTCCAAGCAGTTTACTATATATTCGCATACAAGTCTAGAATATACCATTATGTCCGCGGGAATATACGAGGGTTGGAACTTTAATAGTAGCAACTATTTATTTACAACTGATACAAAATAGATGCATGTTTCAAAGTTTTACTGTCCTTCAGTGTAGTCACCAGCAATGTGTACAACCCGTTGCCAGCGATGTGGAAGTCATAGGATACCTTTAGCAGTGCCAGTTGTGTTGATAGTTCGAATGGAGCGGCCTACTCTCTGAAGAATCTCTGGAACAGATCTGAAGCGAATTCCATGAAGTGGTTCCTTCATCTTAGGAATCAAGTCAAACTCACAAGGGCTTAAGTCCGGGAAGTATGGTGGATGGTACAGCACTTCCCAGCCCCATCGATCGAACAAATCAGCCACAGCCTGTACTGCATGCGGCCTAGCACTGTCCTGCAGAAAGTGTCGACACTTCTTTCTCAAAGCTGGTCACAGGTTGTGTTCCAAAAATGAACAGTAATACTGCACATTGACAGTCTGCTATCAAGGAACGGTATGCGTTAGGATAACACCATCACAGTCATACACGAGAATCACAACTTTCACACTGCTGGGGTTCTGACAAAATTTTGATTTTCATGGTGATCTGTAATGACGCCATTCGTTTGATTGGCGTTTCATTTGTGGCTCATACAATTTAGCCCATGTCTCATCCAGCGTAATGATATGGCATAAGAAAGCCTCTCCTTCACGCTCATAGCACTCCAAGTTGTTACGAGCAGCGTCGTATTGTAGCCATTTCTGTACTTCCATCAAATCATGCGGAACCCATCATGATGCAATTTTTCTCATGACCAGTCACAGTTGTATGTGCTAATCCTGTCTCTCGGGCCAGCTCATGAATCGTACGGCGTCGATCACTCTCCAGTAACACGGAAAGAGCATACACTTTTTCTTCACTGACACTAGGATGACCTGGTCGACGCATGTCTGCCACATTTTGGCGTTCCTCGTTGAAGGCTTTCACCCACCTTGCCACTGTTCTGTAAGTGAATGCAGATTCCCCGCAAGCCTCTTGAGGACCTTGATGACACTGTCGTGCTGTACGGCCTCTGGCACATTCAATCTTTATCGAACTCCATTGTTCCTGTTTCGAAAACATCGTGACAACACTACATTAGACCACCAGCTAACATGAGGCTCTGATCTTCTCATCACGTTGCATGCGCATGATGTGGGAAGGGAGAGTCCATTTGCTCTGAGGTAAGGTAGGTATGTAACTTACATGTGGTATAAGCGACATTATTTTGTTCTGATGCATGGAATCCCTACAGCAGTGCTGCCACTATTAAAGTTCCAACCCTCGTAACAAGATTGCAACAACTGACTTCATGATATGCAATATCGCATGAACAGTTTTTAACCATATTCTAGCATATAACCTTTGTTTTATAACAAGTTTTCAATTCATTGTATTTTTATACCATGTATTTCATAATGTAACAGTTATGAAGTATCCAGCTTTACTATCACAATGAAATTGCAGTTCAATAGTGTGCAAATATAGTAATCACGTGTTTGCCTGATGATGGCTTTAAAAGCAGAAACATGTAGCTAAGGTAATTTTAACCTTGACCGTTATGTTGTTGTGTTATGACGGACTCCGATAAAGAATTGTATATAATAACATATCAGGATGCACGAAATGAAAATTAGAGGGAATTTTACCCATGGACTGCATGGCACAAAAGGAAACAATCACTGGGGATGGCTATGTTACTGTGCTTCAGAATTTAAAGAAGGCTGAAGAATGCCATCTTCTGGGATGTGACGCCATGTAGATATTTTGTTAACCTCTAAGAGACGGGCCATTTAAATTCCCGTAATGGCAGATGGCCGGAGTTAATTTAAATGTCCGCCATTGTAGAGTAATAAAAACTGTAAGCATGTTACTGAAAATACTGTGATTTCTACAATTTTTGTGATAAACGAACGAAATAAATGATGCTTTTATCTAAAAAGGATATAGAATCAGATATTGTAATTTACAGTTTTAGAATCTATAAAAATTGTTACACTGATTCCAAAAAAAAATTCCTAATTTTGAGCGTCTGTCCACAAACATGCATAAAGTTTCTGCACAAAACGTTCCTGCAGTATAAATTCATGCTGCTGACACACTATCTTACTATGTCTTATCTGGCAAGAGGAGAGGAAATTTATGTTTGTATTGCACATTCTCCAGTCAAGTCGGACCTTTCTGTAAGCATGAGTGTGGGCAAAGTCTTATCGTACTTTGTCCTCATTAAACTCTGCTTGTTTATATCTTGGACTAAGCACACTGAGGTACTGTTCTTGGAATATCCCTGCAAAGGCCCTTGCTTCCTCGACCCTTCAAAGTCATCTGTACTGCATTCTGAATGGTGTGATTTATGAGCGGCCTCTCAATTTCGGCTTCTTCCATGCGAAATAGGGCTATGGTGCATAGCTGAAATTGCGATGTTTTATAAGCGTTATGAATAGACGAGGCCACTCGACATCACTGGCCTACTTCCTGTAATACGAGAGTGAGGTGTCGTGTGTGCTCTTTGCGTGGGAAATGGAGTTACATATGGATAAAGTGCATGAATTGCGATGTGGGACTCTGCATTCAGTTACATTCAGTTAGATGACGCAGGAGGGAAGACTGTCTACTTATAAAAGGGTGCCCAAAAGTAATGTAAGTAGAACAAGAATTTCTATCCTAAAACTAGATTTTAAAACACTGTGCACACGCATGGACTGCGCATACCCATAGGGTGTCGCATGGCCACTCGGCTATACTTTAAAGGTCCCCACATGGTGTTGCTAGGCTCTTAAAGGATTAACCGACGTTTCAGAGGAATGTATCGCCTCCATCTTCAGTGTATAAGAAATCTGTGAGCAATGAACCAGCATGAGCAGGTGTCTATAGGCAGAGTGCCAGTCAAGACATCTGTGAGCAATGAACCAGCGTGAGCAGGTGTCTATAGGCAGAGTGCCAGTCAAGACACCCAGCTATATAAAAACAGGAAGGGGAGAGGGGCCACATGGGAAATCAATGGAGAGGAGAGGGGAAGGGTGTGGGGAGATGGGTCAGCAGGTAGCAGGCCAAAGCAGGTATAGGATTGTGTTGGGAGGAAAGAAAAGGCAAGGTTACCGTGAGAGCAATGACCCAATAGCCTCATGGTTAAGCTGCCTGCCATGCCTTGACCTGCGTTGCCTTATGGTCTGGCGCCATGTTCAGGAGGTTTCTAGAGGGAGTCTCTCATCTGCTCCCTCAAGAAACCTCCAGAACATGACATCAGATCCACAAGGCCACACAAGTACAGGCACTGTGGGTTTGAGTAATTAAACCAATCACCCTACCTACACTCTTTTTCTGAAACCTGTGGAACTATGTGCATGTTGGTCAGTTTCTATATGACGAAATCAAAAGGTGATGTTTCTGAGTGGCGTCAGGAGCAAGACAATGACTTCTACTTTTTCAGGGATTTCTTCTCTGGTCACAAAATAGGTGAAGCACATCGAAATGGTGGGATAAACAGTGAAAACATATTTGTTCTATCTCAACTACTTCATGACTTGGAAGATTAAATATCCAGTGTCCATCATAACATATAACTATATACAAACCGATGTTGTTTCTTTCCTTTAAGTTAAAAATAATGCTTCTCAACTATTCAAAACAAATGGTAAAACACTGTAATAGGCCCTGTAAAAGAAGCATGGTATTTCAACAGAGACAAAAATGTTTGAAAACTTACCAATACTTTTGCATCTTTAAGCACTGAGTAACCATCACAGCCAGAATACAGGTACATTTTAGTAGCCAGGCGGTACCTCTGATCAGGTTCAAGGTATTCATCTCCTATCCTAACAAGCTGCGGATCAACTCTCTTCCCAGGTGGCTGTCGTGGATCAAATGCAAAAGTAATACCAGCAACTTGAGGGAACCTGCCTTCTAACTTTGGATACATGCTTACACCATTTTCCAAAGCATGTAATATGTCTTGCCCTAAAAAGAAAGTAAATTACAATTATAATATAAATTTTAAACTATGTAACATGCAATTAACTCATAGTTATCTGGGGTGTGAAATACATCTGGTTCACTGAAATAATTAATCCTTATTACTACCCAAGTGTGCTACTTTTCAATGCCCCCCCCCCCAAAGTAAGAGTTATCTCTGTGTTTAAGTAACATGCTACGAAGACTATGGGGTAGCAAAACTAGAGCTCCACATATTTCTAACTTCAGCAATAGATAGAGGTGAGCAGTTATCTGCATGCTCTGCCACTTTCCTCAAAAGATCTCTTGCAACCTACTGCAGAGTTCAGAATGGGTGTGATGACAAAGACAAAAAAGAATAACACCTGCCCCTGCTCACAATATACTCTGACTATCCAGACCACAGCCAGCTACTTTACTGACTGTGCTATCAATGTAGAAATTATGTAAACTATTTCCTGATTTTATGAGGGTGATAGGCCGAATTATCCTAATGTGTATTTCATACCTCCTGAGGAACATGACAGTGTAGTTGGTTGATGCACTATGCTACAAGCCAGAAGGTCACAGGTTCGATTCCCAGTGTCACTGGATTTCTCAATTGACATAATCCTTCCAGTCACAATACAGTATGGACCTGAGGTTGACTGAGCCTCTAATAGAAATGAATACCAGGGATCTTCCTGGGTTAAAGGGCGGCCAGCACCTGAGGCTTACAACCTCACCACCATCAGTGAGTCAACTGTCTAGAGAATGTGGAAGCCTCAACATCTCTCAGCCCTATGGCCCTTATGGCGTTTTATAGGGGGATGGGGAATAGCTTTCTCTTTCTTGCAGCTCATCCATAAACAACTAAATCCAGCAGCAGCACTTTTACCTCTGTTAAATGCATTAAAAGTTAAAAGTAACCAGGCAATCATATCATTAATCTTTTCTGAAGAAAAATATGTACAACTTTAGAAAATGAAAAGATTAAAGTTCATGTAAATTCAAAGAAGATCGGGTCAACAGAAGTACTTTCACAATTTGTATAACTGCAGTCGGTGAGCAAGATTATCAATTTACTTTGTAAGCCTGAGCCTTCAGTGAGGGCATTTGTTCTACTGTGTCCCAAGGGGGTGTTTTTAATTTTTGAAAAGAAGCTTTTAAACTGACACAACATACAATCTGTATAGAAGAAACTGAAGATTTTTCATTACAGTTTCACATAAGACTAATCTACAATTTTACCGTTAGAAGAATGTTGTACACATATGGGATCCCACATATTCTAACTCTTCAAGCATTCATTCAAATACAAACCAGCTCCACAATCAGGGTACCACTAGATTAATTCCTTTGCTTTCCCTTGTTGCGAATAGGCTATATGTTTCATCTGATGTTTAGCCTTATTTCCTGATAGCAGTAACTCTCTAAAATGTGACATACAGAAAGACTTTTAGGAAGTGGTTAACTAGATAGGCACCTATTTAAAGGGACAGAAGCTCCAGACCACCATCTTTCCATGAATCCTTCGATGATGAGGATTCTGAATGTGAGGCAAGTTTCCTTGTTTGATAGCACTGATCTAATACGTTGTGTGTTCAAGTTCTAAGGTCTCCGATTTTTTTTCTCATACAATAATCATACAAAAAATTTGAAACTTCTGTCACTTTTCAACGTAATCTCCCTGCAGCCGTACACATTTTTCACAACGTCGACGCCATGATTCCATGGCTGCTGCGAACGCTTCTGTAGGAGTCTGTTTTGACCACTGAAAAATTGATGATGTAATAGCAGATTGAAAAACAGCATCCATGTCTCATCCATTGTCACAGTTGATGAAAAGAAAGTCCCATTCATGCCTTCATCACGTGTCAACATCGCCTGGCAAATAGCCATGTGTGCAGCCTTGTGGTCATCCGCCAGAATTCGTGGCACCCACCTGGAGGACACTTTCCGCATTCGCAGGTCTTCATGCATGATTTTGTGCACAGATCCCACTGAAATGCCAACTTTGGAGGCGATGGTTTCCACACTCAATCGGCGATCCTCCAAAACAACTTTCTCAACTCGCTCGACCATGCTGTCAGACCGGCTGGTGCGAGGCCGAGATTGTTTTGGTTCGTTGTCACACGACGTTCGGCCTTCTTTGAACTGTCGCACCCACGAACGCACATTTTTCACATTCATGACACCACCACCACACGTCTCACTCAACTGGCGATGAATTTCACTGGGTGTCGCACCATTCAAGTGGAGAAAACGAATGATTACTCACTGTTCTTGTAATGAAAACGTCACCATTTTAAGTATCAAAAACACTCCCCACTCTCGCCGCTACCACTAGAGTTCTGTGTGCCGTACAGTGCTGCCATCTCTGTCACGCATTCACAAAGAGTGCACATATATTTTAAACTAAACCGCATGTGTCTATCTGCTCCCAGTCCTGAGAAAAAAAACGGGAGACCTTAGAACTTGAACACCCCTCGTATATGATCACTGAATTACTGAAAATGGTAACACTGAGTAGCCCGTGCAATAATTTTACAAATCATGTGGAACATTTATTTCATTCCAATAGTATAGCTGCAGCACTTGATCTTTCAGGTTGACCCTTGTGGGTACTGCAGTCAAAAAATAAAACAAGTCTTGTTATATTCTTCCTTCTGCTTACTGACACATCTCATCTGTGTGATATGTGGGGATCATCATCATTCTCCTGTTACTGTGCCATGCCATAATGCCTATGTTCCCTGAAAGATGGCAGAATTGTTCTCCCCTCTTCACTACGGAAGGAATATTATTTCTGTTGACATGTAAGGTGCTAACACAATCTGTTTCCTTAGATATCAGAAAATCTGGAGAATTACAAAATTGTCCATCCAGCATGTAACCATGTATCAAGCGAGTTTCAAAAATCCCATAATTACTTTTGCAGAATTGCTGGTCAGTTCAATACCCTGTCCTGTACAAATTATGAAAAGACATGACATAACCTGGGCTGGATTCATGAAGTACACTTCAGAATTTCCAGTGCAATATATTGCTTGGAAGACAGACTAACATTCCACAGAGTCAAAAACTTTTCTACAAGATTATCCTGCTTTGGGAGGAATCAATTCTGGTATTCTTTGTTTAGCTGTTGCAGAACTGGACATACAGTATGCGGAAAAAAATTCAGTACTGAAATGAAAAAGATGAACAATATTACCTTGTTGTCATCTGTGAGTTTATTTCTCCTGATAGAAACTAACATACACACTATTAGCGTGTTGATTTACCACGGCATGCGTAATGTAAGTTTTTGAAGTGTGCACTGCCTTACTGTAGACATTGTTCATATCGTTCACACAATTTCTCAATCATATCCCAGAACAAAGGTTGCTACAGACTCCTGCAAAAGGAGACGATTTGCTTGTGTAATGCAGGCACAGTTCTTGGCGGATCTTCACAGTTGAACACTCTCTCCTTTAACATTCCCCACAAGTAGGCATCAGGTGGTGTAAGATCGGGGGAAGGGGACAGGTATGGGAAGTCAGTACAATATGAAATGATTCGTCCTGTAAGGCTAGTCGTCCATTGGAAGCGGAAACCTGCGAACTGGGATTCGGCCGAATCTGTGCGAATCTGTTCGTCCGAATTCGTGCGTTCACTGCGCGTCCTTTGGCTGCGTGTTCGGCCGATGCCATTCGCGTTCTGTCATGGCGCTGTCTGAAGATTTATGTGATCTGTACGCGTTTGATACTCCTTTACTGGCTAGGTGACGAGCACAGAATAGGAGAAAAGAGTGGATTAGTGGAATTTTA